GAACACTGAGGAAATTTCGTTATTCACGAGAAATATTTTGAACATTTTGCCGCACTAAAAAATTGTACCATAAGGTTTTTTCATCTCTGTGAGCGTCAATCTTAGAAGTACGCCACAAACGCCACAATATTTATGCAGACAACGTGTTTTGATGTGCCCAAAAGATGTAGCCCAATAGGAAAGAAATGCTGCTCAGAACTGATTGGATAACACATGTTCTTCTAATCGCCCTCATTGCCTGTTTCGTCTCTGCCTGCACACAGTGCAGCGATTTCGGCCCGGCAGTGAGGGAAAATCTACCCGCTGAGTGAAAACGTCGTATGAACATTTGGACGAACATTTGAGGAAAAATTATGATCGATATACTGATCAGATTACTCATGTTCTTCTTACATTTCCACGCTATATCGCCCTCACTGCCCGTTTCGTCTCTGCCTGCACACAGTGCAGCGATTTCGGCCCGGCAGTGAGGGAAAATCTGCCCGCTGAGTGAAAACGTCGTATGAACATTTGAGGAAAAATTATAATCGATACTGATCAGATTACTCATGTTCTTCTTACATTTACACGCTATATCGCCCTCACTGCCCGTTTCGTCTCTGCCTGCACACAGTGCAGCGATTTCGGCCCGGCAGTGAGGGAAAAAACTGCCCGCCGAGTGAAAACGCCGTATGAACATTTAGACATTGCCAGATTTACTTTCATAACGCAAGAATTTTCTGAGAACATTTTCATATTTTGCTTTCAATCCTACAACGGATTTTATTCGGAATTGGATCTAGAAAAACTGAAAAATTGAGGGAAAAGAGTCGTATGTTTTCTCTAGTATATTCGTCGATGGCGTGGCATGTTATGCGATCCATCGATTGATCTGCCATTCAAACCTACGGGGAAAGATCGATAAAAAGGGTGTTCGAAATGAACACCGAAATTATCGATTCTTCACTAGTTTCAAATGGGGATACATCGATGACCGATCAATACACCATGCCAAATGTGCATACGGCGTTTTTCGGCGGCGTCTTGTGTCCGCGGGACGTTTTAACGACATTCATAGTAGAGTAAAGTCAACATTATACACGGAATACAGTATGCGATTAAGAGCTACAATATCTGGCTCAGTTTAAAAATACAGTATGCGATTAGGAGCTACAATATCTGGCTTGGTTTAAAAACAAAGTATATACTACTAGTTTGGGCACATAAATGGCCATTTTGCTATTCGGAACTAAAATTTCTGGCTCATCAGTACAAACACAGATGCGCATAGGGTAACTAAGGTACATACGCTGTTTCTCAACTGAGCCAGAAATGCAGTTCCTAATTGCAAACTGAAGTCCAAATGGACCACATTTTGCAATTCGGAACAATAATTACTAGCTTATAAGTAAAAACACTTGTGTACATAGCGAAACTAATGGTACGTACGCTGTTTCTACACTGAGCCAGAAATTATAGTTCCGAATTGCAAAATGTAGTCCAAATGTTTTTACGAATGAGCCAGAGACTGTGGTTCCTAATTGGAAAATGTTGTCCATGAGACACGTCACACTTCAGTTCCGCCAACAGCCCCTGGCGGTTAAGGCGATTTCAGTGCATCCTCAAACAACAAAGCACTTGAAAACTACGTACAAGTCACAAGACTCTGAATGTCGGTTTTTCGTCGAACTCGCCACGCGTCTGAAACTGAGGTCGTTTCAATCCAAATAGAAACAATTCTTGGATCGAGCTAACTGTCTTAGCCAAAAGAATCTGCTTTGAAAATTAGGAAGTAAGAATCCTGACGAACATTTGAGCTGCAAGTTAATCGAAAAATGAAACCGCGATACGAAAGAAGAGGGGGGAAACCGGAGAACATTAGCACTTGAAAAAAATACCGAGCAACATCAGAAGATTGTGGGTGAAAATTAACTTACCAAATATCTCGGATTTCAGAAAAAAGGGGAACGAGGAGGCATGTTTGGATAAATGTAATTATGGTTTTGACACTTATTAGTTTTGTTCAAAATGTTAAAGTAGTAAAAATAAAAACCAATAAAACTGAACTGGTGAAGCTACTGTTCAGTTAACTGAAGGTTTTAATACCTCACGAGCTATCCCTCTTCCCGGAACCAATCGACAAATGGGTTTTGGCACCGTAGACGTGATGACTCTTGCACCAATTACCTTCAAATAGACTTCTAGCCACGTAGCGCAGAATCTTACATCAATACTAATACATACTGTTAGATGTTGACAAAATATTACAAATACTAATGCCGTTGTATATCATCGCTCCTCTGTGTTGAGTGTAAACAAGAAAGAATTCATGGAAAAAGGTATTTGTGATGCGATACTAGATAAAATCTAATAATTGCAATGCTCCTCCCACCTGCAAGGCCCAATAACAGTGACTTAATTTTTTGACAGAAGGTATAGAGAATTGGGGAAGACATGGCAAGCTTCAGATGGACCCTTCAATGGTCACAAAGTAAAACATTTCTACTACAGACTCGAATTACACATGAGAGGATCTATTCATATTCTAACACGGAATTCTTCAGCTCCGCAATATGATCCGAAAAAAAAGAAACTGCCATAGCAAGGATAGAATTTATCGACTCGGTTATTTCGACGAACAAAGAAGGAGACGTCAATAGTGAACAATGGACTTCACTACAAAGTCATAAGAACACGTTTACTTGTTAAGGTCCGGCACCTGGAAGGCGCCTCTTCTCAATATATTTACGAGTGGACCCCATTCATAACAGCAGGCGCAGCCACGTGTGTGACTATGAGTGCGTGCGTATGAAGTTGCCTCCATGAGTTTCTCCAAGTCCTCCACAGATTTTAATGAAGTTGAAAACCTCCCGAAAAATCAATACTGCAACATCAGGGGAAATATCGATGCGGGCCAGGCTGTAGCGCAGCAGTGCTTCGACCTGCACGACAGGATCTACCGCTCCATCGCCGCCAGATTGCTTGAAACATTCCAATTACAAGTTCCCAACGGCGGAGGCGAGACATGTCTTGATCAAAATAAATCGGTTCCGGAGGGCAGCACAACGGGCGGCCAATGAGAAAATGACCGGGCGTCAGAGGGCGAAAGTCATTAGGGTCTGATGACATAGGGGTGAGAGGGCGCGAATTCATCATCGCTTCGATGCGACATATCAATGTTATGAATTCTGCGGCGTAAAGTCTCCCATTTCCGATAGTTCGTTTCAAATGCGATTTCATATTCTTAACGGCGGCTTCCCACAGGCCTCCACTGGTAGGATTGGAGGGCGGGATTCCGAAATTTGTATGTTCATTCGAATCGGCTCGTTTCCATTCGCCTAGAAAACCTATCGTGTAGGAATGTGATTTTTAGCCCCACAACCCCTACGAGCGATAAGGGGGTGGATTTTTTTCGGGAAATTGTTTCAAAATTTGTATGTTCAGTGGAATCCCCTCGTTTCGATTCGCCTAGAAAACCTATCGTGTAGGAATGTGATTTTTAGCCCCACAACCCCTACGTGCGATAGGGGGGTGGATTTTTTTCGGGAAATTGTTCCAAAATGTGTATGTTCATTCGAATCGGGTCGTTTCCATTCGCCTAGAAAACCTATCGTGTAGGAATGTGATTTTTCGACCCCCTACCCCTGCTTGCGATAAGGGGGTGGATTTTTTCGGGGAAATTGTTCCAAAATTTGTATGTTCATTGTAATCCGCTCGTTTCGATTCGCGTAGAAAACCTATCGTGTAGGAATGTGATTTTTCGACCCGCTACCCCTGCTTGCGTTAAGGGGGTGGATTTTTTTCGGGAAATTGTTTCAAAATTTGTATGTTCAGTGGAATCCGCTCGTTTTGATTCGCCTAGAAAACCTATCGTGTAGGGATGTGATTTTTCGACCCGCTACCCCTACGTGCGATAAGGGGGTTGATTTTTTCGGGGAAATTGTTCCGAAATTTGTATGTTCATTGTAATCCGCTCGTTTCGATTCGCCTAGAAAACCTATCGTGTAGGAATGTGATTTTTCGACCCGCTACCCCTACGTGCGATAAGGGGGTGGATTTTTTCGGGGAAATTGTTCCGAAATTTGTATGTTCATTGTAATCGGCTCGTTCCGATTCGCCTAGAAAACCTATAGTGTAGGGATATGATTTTTCGACCCACTCCCCCTTCGTGCGGTAAGGGGGTTGATTTTTTCGGGAAATTGTTCCAAAGTTTGTATGTTCATTGTAATCCGCTCGTTTCGATGCGCCTAGAAAACCTATCGTGTAGGAATGTGAATTTTCGCCCCACTGCCCCTACACGGGAAAGAAAGGGGTTTACTGAATGTAAGTAAACGCGTCTCCTTTGATTTCTTACTTATTTCAAAGCATATATTACAAACCGGATTCTTCAAAATTAGTAAACGGTGTGAACGCTTTCCGAGTCCGGCCGTTGCCTCCTTCTAAGTCAACAGCTTGGTTGATAAAGGAAAGCGGGTTTCGTTGAAAGAAGACACCAGTTTTGTGGAGATCGGGAACCGGGAGTAACTCCTTCCGAGGCGGCCGAATGCAATTAGGAATACGCCCGTTGATTTCTTTCAAGTGGGCAGCTTCCGAGATAGGACATTAGTCGTTTCTTGTGTTGTGTCTTTCGATGTTTCGATCTCAGGTGTATTCCTTTCGAGTGATCCATTCCTTGGAGGAGCCGGGCATTAAGTTGGAGTTTTTTTTTCTTTCTCGCTCGCTCCGCTTCGCTCCGCTCGGGTCCTCGCTTCGCTCGGATGCGGGATGTATCGGCCCCTCGCTCCGCTCGGTTCCTCGGCTAGGGGTCGGGATGTTGGTTGACAGAGGCGCCCCATCCCGCGAGGATGTGCGTCGATACCCCAGACCGTAGGCAGTCATCCCTGCAGGCTGATTATTATTATTACTGATGTTATTATTATTATTGTTACTATCGTTTTTATCATTGCATGAAATCGTAATGTATGGTGAAATGATTTATGATAAACTTAAGTGAGTTAATTATTTCTATTTCCCGTTCCCAGATGTCGGATTCTAATCGAGACGTCGTCAGGAGCTGCGAGGCCAATCTGGAGGAAGCCATCCGAATCCAGGTGGAAGCTTATCGCGACGGAGATATCTCCCTAGGAGACCAGATGTCCCAGACGATCGGTATGCTGCTTGAGGCCAAAGCAGAGAGAGCTAGGGCGGTCAAAAGGACCAGCGGGTCGTCGGGCGGTAGTCTCGGCGTAAGCAGCGCAACGCCTGCAAAGTAAGTTGAATACTTAGTTTATTGCACGTAGATGCTTCGGCGAGGGTAGTCGGTAAAGGGGCAGAATAAGGTTGCGTGACTGTCGAGGGAATTATGCTCTCAAACCGAATATTATTTTTCAAAAAAAATTCCTGTAAGGTAGGATCAGATGCATGGAGCCACCTTGTTGATCCGGATCCTAGGCTTTCAGTGAAACATTTTATTTTGGCCCTTCCAGAAAATATGCCACATGATGAAGCTTGGATCAAAATACGACGAGCTCATCAAAACTTAGAGTTGGCACGATGGCGTCCGAGCAGCTGGACGCAACAGTCCTGGAACCTTGCTATGGATCGACCTTTTGAGGTCGCCCCACCCGTGGACAATGCAATGGCAGGAGTGGGAGAGTCAAACTCTGGAGCTGATAAAGTCAACGTACACTCTAAATCAGCATTTAATAGAGGGTCAGTGCCTAATGGTTAACGCAATTAACAAGTTCACGTCAATTGCGGAGGGATCAATTCGTGACACCTCACAAAGTATAAGATCCATATTTGATAACTCCATGGACCGACTGCATGCTATTACAGGAGCAGCATCTACGATGGCTGTACCTATAGTCCCTCCCACCACTCCCTCTGCTGGTGGAACATCCTCTACCCCGGCTTCTACATCAACTCAGAAGACAGGATCTGTTGCCCCTCCCAGATTGAAAAAGAAGGCAGGAAAAGCCAAGCCTTTATGATACAATATCTTGGTAATCAATAATATAAAAGAAACTGGAATAATGTGGTACCTTGCGTTTCTTCTTCCAGTGGTCCATAGCTTAACTGCGTTTGATTGTGCACGCCCGGGAGAAGTGCATACATTCTCATATGAACCCCTCGGGGATTGTGACCTCCCAACAAATGATACTTGGGTGGCAAATTCATGGACTGGTACAGTGCTGCAGTTCCCGGAGTTTGTTGAGAGACCTCACAGGACCTGCAGGTTGGAATTAAAACAATACACAATGTATTGTACATTCTCAAACAACCCCACTCAACTGGAGAAGCTCTCGGACGATTTCAAGCCTGTTACCTATCAGTTGACTGAACGAGAATGCCTCGATGCGTGGCATTACAGCAAGACGTGATTACAAGCAGTGGACGTGTCAGTCGTGGCTCCTGGAGTCACCAAGATTTTGATAGGGCCGGAGATAGATGCGGAAGGGTTTTGCAAGTCCTCTAAATCTACCAGCAAAGTATTAAAAGGGGTATTGGAGCTGGAAATGGCTAGTGTGAGGGAGTTTGCCATTACTCATATAAGCAGTGGACTCAGAACTTTAGACGGGTCCTCGTTAAGCTGGAGTCCAACAGGCTTATCTAGTCATACACTCGATGGTATTGTAGTT